CCTGCTTATGCCCGACCCTTTTCGTTCGCCCAGATATCGTTCACTCGGTAACTGTGTCTCCGACCATATACTTTTATCTCGTTGCACTGGACACAGTGACCCAGTGAACACGACTGATCTCGATAGGTAATGATTACGTATAACTTGACCAAGGATTGGGGTGGACAACTAATTACAATCTGAATGAAAATTTCTCTTTTTCATAATTTACATTGAAGAAATTAGAAAATCGTGTAAATTGCAGTGATTGTATTAAGAATGGCTGTAATTAACTACATTTTTAATTTAAAATACATATGTATATATTTAAAGGAAAATAGTAATTTGAACCTGAGAAAAACTAACGAGATCTCGTCCATCATCTCGAAATTATTGAAAATGTGTTAGATAATCTGTCGGATTTAGGTCGTATCAAAATGAATTTTTGTCGTGTGAACGGAGCACGAAGTCGTCTTTCGCATCTGGGAACAGTGTCCGGGGATAGTTCCGTTCGAATGCCAGCAAACGGTATACGAATATTTCTAGTCTAACGTTCCACGTGTCGCTTGCACACTCCGCTTAATCTTGTGTAACGTTACGCACACAGAACGCAGGCCGTGTGTGCGCGTGTGGTAGCCTCGGAGCCGCGAGCACGCTTTCTCGTGCGCCGATAACGCTCGCGAGTTCCAATTCGTAATATGTGTAATTCGACTTTTTTTCCCGATTTTAGCTCGAATATTTTCATATCGCGGATACACGTGTTCCTATACTCGGTGCGCGACACATTTTCTTACGGCGAAAGATTTATGTATCTCGTTATCTTTCGTCGTTCGTACGTTATGCAATTGAATCGATACCAACACCGAGCTACAATTTTTATGCGCTATATTTTTATTTCTCCTGTTCGATGTGGAACTAATCAGCCACAATTAATTAGCTGGCCAGTAACGTTTTTATCGCGTTCTCTTAACATCAGGACCGAATTCAGATTTCTAAGGCCCTGTAGCTATCTTCAAGATTCCCCTTGATTCATAAATTTCATTTAAAAATTGAAATTTATTGTAAATGAAATTAAATAACATTTAACCGGAAATTTACAACGAAGGCCCTTAGACCTTCCCTTAATCTGGTGCTGCTATACACCTTTAAGACCGCACATTTGCACATTCTATCAATTTTTTACAGTTTACCTTTTTTTTTATAGCAACCTAGGAAGAGATTATGAATATAAATTCTCAAAGATTCTGATTAAGCTGGTCTAACACCCTCAAGGAAAAGCAGACTGAAACGTTTCAACTTTCATAGAAAATTCCTGCACGAAGTGGCTTGCAAGCATAGAAAAGATACATCATACATGGCGTCCGACGCTCGCATACATACACATAAGCAAGTAGAACCGTCCTCTGCGTGCCAGTGCGTATACCACGTGCCGACATGGTCGAGCAGTGTGCATCACCTATACGGTTCGAGAAGACCGTGAAGAAGACTGTTAGATCTAACTGTAACCCAGGCCTACTTTCGGCTTCCTTTGGGCCTTCAAACGATTACATACATATACATATATTCCTCGGTGCGTACGGTGGTATATCAATGTTAGGATCGCGCGAGCATACGGCACATCCACACGCGCCTCCACGAAAGCGCGCGTTGCTCAACCATGATTCTCTTCGGAGCTATGCGTTACCCGGTCTCCCTCTATTTCCTACCAAACTCCATCGTCCTTGAACCCTTCCTACCCACCGACCTTCCTTTTCACGTTCTCACCCTCTATCGCTGAGAAAAATAAGAAAGAGCACTCGAACGGGCGACAAAGCATCGTGTTACTCTCCCTGTTTCTCTCAGCCATCGTGGCGCGGGGCTTTTCGTCGACTTTCGCCTTCCAACGGGTGGAAAAAAAGAATCACGGCCTTCGGTATCTGAGAAGAAACTTTTCCTTTCCCTTCGCCAAAAGAAATTCTACCGTCATCGGTTGATGGCTACCAGCCGATGGTTTTCGTGAAATCAGGACACGCGTGGTGTGCCTACCTTGGAGAAAGCGTTAGAAGGAGGATCGTGTTGGCGAGGAAACGGTGCTCACGAGGTTAGAAGTGGGAGAGCAGGAGGAACTTGTAAGGAAGGCGAGTTGCACGCGCGAACGGCTAAATTCATATCACGTCCATAGAAACATAAAAGAGTATCGTTTCGGAAGTGTCCTCTTCGTCTTCGTCTTCGTCTTCGTCTTCGTCTTCGTCTTCTCGGAGGGCAAGCAAGGGTTATCGCGAATCGCCTGGTTGGACTTTAGCTATCCAACATCGCGAGACGAAGGCCATCGACGAATTGCATGCGCCCAATGTCTCACGAAATACCGGTCACATGGCCCGATTAATTACAAACATCCTCTTGGTGACTACGAGGAAAAGATTCGAGAACAGATCACGATGATTGTGAAAGGAACCTTTCGAATGCGCTCGAGCTCTCTAGACGAATAATCCTTCTTATAATACGATTGCTCATAACTTTGAAACTATTTCTCTGGTATTTATTAGGAATATCGTGATCGGATTTCGATCAAATGATAGATGAAAGAGGAGCAAGAAACTAGCATCCGGTTCGATTGATCCAACGAAGAAGCGTAGCTCGCAAGACCGTTACGGGGAGAAAAACAGCTCGATGGCACGTGGTCAACCAGCTAACCAATTAAGCGACCAGCTTTACGGTCTTCGCAAGCGATAGTGATTAATCGGTCGATCCAGTCGTTCACAACTTTCTCTACGTGCTGCACTTAACGGGACGCCCGTTAGCCGTCTCGGAACCGAGCTGACACGAATATCTTACGAGACGACATTCGTCGATTCGTAACGGTACTGCATCATCGATGCAATGGAAGATGCCGAAGAGGATCTTGAAAAATATTTATAAAATAATTACCTTATTTTGCATTATACAAACAATTGGTACTAAGCTGCAGCACCCTTTGATTCGAGTAAACTGAACCGAGGTCAGAAAGCAATTTGTTTCTTCAGAAAATATTTTCCTACTCCCTGCAATTCCTTCGTCAGAAAACATTTTATACATTCCGTTTATTATTACCTGCTGCTGGCATTTATTCAATAAAGAATAATAATTCTGGCGAAGCATCGCGAAGAAAACAGAAGGCTTCGAAATTATGTCTTGAAAGTTGCACATTCTTGTTTATTCAGCGTGACTGATAAAGAAACAGATATCTCTAGTTCCACATGTATAGTAGCGTTATCAGAGTCGCTGATAGATCATACCGAATTTTCTGAACATCGTAATCGCCAGAGTTTCGACAGTTTTCGCTTGCCCAGTGACTCGTTATATTTGTTGCACATGATGAGTCTATTTTCGCAAGACAAAAGTGGATACGGTTTCGAGATATCTGCAATTTTTACACGGACGCGGAAATAATTAATGTTATCGTAGAGCAAATTAAATTAAACCAGGACCAAATTAAGATTTTTGAGGCCCGGAGCTATCAAACCATTCAGAACCTCTTTGGCTCACAAACTTGATTTAAAAATTGAAATTTATTTTAAACAAAACTGAATAACAATTAATCGTAAAAAAATAGGACAATATTTTTTGACATAGCGAAGCGGGACCCAGGGTTGTACTCCTTCTTAGACCTTCCCTTAATCTGGCACTGTTTGCATCGACATGTATAGGAAACAAACACGAGAACTAATGGCTGTAAAGAATCAAAAATATTACGACCTGAATGATTACGATAATTAATTCCCATCAAAATTCAATACCAAAGTAACATACCACGAATGCATAATCCACAAGACTCGTCCGTTCCACTTTATTGCCGTTTCTGTCGACAGTTCGCGGTTCAATGCCGCGAACCCGTCGCATTATTAAACACACCACCATCGATTATCAATGCAGAATGCTCGTCAACGATTCGTATCAATCGCGAATGAAGAAAATCGAATTTCGATCGATCGATCGAAACTCGCACTCTCGATGGCACTCGCGACCCATTAGTCGTTGCACCGAGTCTGCGGTACGGTTGATACATAATGAATGAAGATGCACGTATCCAACTTTTATTTTTGGACCGGAAGCCGTTCACAGTTACGGCCTGCATAAACGGCGCACAAGCCACGATAAATATAAAGTTGACACGAACGATCACGATACTACCGTTGCTTTTATCTTTCGGCCTCAGATAAAAACACCTCTCTCTCTATCGTTGCAATAAAAGAAACGCGACCGGATTCTCGCTGGTTGAAAGTCGCACGCGACCGATCAAACTGAAAGACGGTACTCGTCTCGAAGAGGACGAAAGCGATGCAACCGCGAGTGCATTGCATCGCGGCTCGCCGCGAACTGCGGTTTCGCGCGACGAATCCGTAAGAATGTTGCACATTCGTCGGGGGAAATCGCACACCAGTGTACGTGCGTATGCACGTATGTTCGCACACGCATACACACGTACAGAGGGACAGGAGCGTTTGTATAAAGGCGATGTGCAAAGCAGCCGAGATTCGCATGCACACATCGACTGACTCTGCGCGAGTGGAGACTCGCCCCACGCGATTGGGTGAAACAGGGGTAGGGGCGGGCCAATCCGCGGCCGCTGCACTTGGCTTGCACTCGCACACGTGCACCGCTTGCAAAGCGGCGGCGTGCAACTGCAATCGGGAGGTCGACAGGTGAGCGTATTCGCGCGCAAGGAGTGATGGCGCCTCTTTGGTCAGACATGGAGGCGAGGCTTCCGGCCACGTGAATGGCTCGTTTCGAGCCGCGATCGACGCCCGTTTTTCGTACGAAAATTTTTCACTTAATTGTTGACTGATAAGAAAAGGAACGCGCTTGCTGGTCGACTTCAAAATACACCGATTACGCGATATCGACTCGATCGACCGGGCATTCGATTCTTTCGCGCGTGCAACGAAAAGTGTATTACTCATTGAAACGTTGCATTCAACGGTGATTTTAAATTTCTTTCTTTAATATAATAAAGGTTCTTCTTTAGATTAATTAATTGGTAGATAGTAAAAAAGAGAACTTACCCTCGCAGAATAGGGTGACATCGGTAAGACTCTCGCTTTTGAACAAATTCGAGAACGCTGTCGCCAAGTTGCTACCGAAGCTATTCCACTTGAGACAGAACTGATGCTGATGAGAGTCCATGATGCCACCCTTAGGCCCAACTCCGTGACCTTCGCCACCCCTGTCTCTGCCACCTTCGTGTAAGTATTTTCCTTCTTGATCGCGCTCGTGCCCAACAGTTCGTCCAGCTGTACAGAGAAAGTTAATCTTTGTTTATTCCTCGTTAACGATCGCTCGATTAAACGAATAATTTAAGAAGTAAGGAATTTTCAAGATTCATCGATTCGATTCGCATACAGGAAATTCTGATTCGTAAATGAAAGATCGTGCGAGCAAATCGGTCGGCTAACCGCGTTCGCATCGTACCGTGTCGTGGAAACTTCAACCGGATTTCCGCGGTGCGCGATAAAAGCTCGAGCGAAACCTACCGATGCCGAGGAGCGTATTACCGTCCGCTCGAAACAGGCTCAACGGGAACACCGATGCATCGGTGATCAGAGGGACATTCACAGGAAGATTCGACGATCCTCCAAGACACGGGTACACTCGAAGAAACGACAGCACCGTTTCTCGTATTTTCCCCGGTTTCCCGATCGAACGCGAACCACTTGCGAATCCTCGAGCTCCGGACTGGAGTTGAAACTCACTGAACAGAGTGCTTTCCGCACCGGTCTCGCGTACACGTGTCCACGCGGCACATGATCCACGAAAAGTGTTCTCCGCTCGCACTGATCCCGCGGCTTGTTCTCGTAACGAGCACGGATAACGAGCGAGAAGACGTGAAAGAAGAAGCGGAGAGACGGTAACCACCGGTACTTTCGTTGCGTATCCGAACACTGGTCGCGTACACACTGATGGGCCGAGTCTACGTTTTACCCGTCCGAAATCGAGTCACCGACTTGCATCGCGCATCGCCGCGACGAGGAAAGAATCACGCGTACCTCTCTCTCTCTTTCTCTCTCTCTATCTTTCTCACGTACACATGCGTGTACACGCGGTAGCTATCTCCCTCTTATTTTCACCGTCTCTCTTATCGAACACGCGCGCACCGTCCGTCTCGGTTGCACTCGCGGTAGAAACGAACAGATAGCCCGCGGTGTCTTGGCCCGCGCGGGAGGATCGTACCGCGAACGTACGGGAACGATGTGTCCGGTGCTGTCAGGCGAGAGAAAGAGGACGAAAGTCGTGTCGCGTGGTGCCTTGTCGTGGTGGAAAGAACGTGAATATGGGTCATCGGTGCCGATGCAAATGCGGTTCAACGAAATAGTGTGAGTTCTGTGCTTTCGTGGGACCGGTGGCGGTAGCGCGATGGAAGAAGAGGGAAGGTCGTGTAGGTGGGAGGAGGGGAACGGTTGGTTCAGTAGGGGAAGTAAGATTCGACTTTTTCGAAGAGGGTGGGGCTAGATTGCTTAAGGCTAGAACTTTAGTTCGCGTGCTCCTCTGTGCCCCCTCTCTTATCACGTGTACTCTTTGCGCTACTCTTCGCGTTTCTATCTTTCTCTTTCTTTCTTTCCTATTGCTTTGTCCTATTGCTTCGAATATCCCCTCTAACGTTTCTAAGGTATCGCGGGTCCCCGCCACTTTCTAATCTAACACGTGCCAGGGCCGAAACGCGGATACGTGGCGCCACTCGGCAAGAACAACCGCGGGGACGTGGAAGGGATCGTTTTGTTGCACGCTACTCTTCGTTACCACGGGCCACTCGATTACGTCACTGCCGCTCGAAATGTTTCAGCGGGCACGGACTCTGCATGGCCGAATGCATCGTGGACTTTGTAAGATTACGCTTTATATTCAAATTCACGAATCGATTAAGCCAGTTAATCTGAAAAAAAAAACTCTCGATATTACACAGCATGTTTCAGTGTTTACAAAAATATTTTATGTTTTTGTAATTTCACGTGCTAAAAAGTATGCTAAACTATGCATTAATTCATTTACAAAGACCTCGTAATTGCCTTGGGCTTCGTCGAAACTTGCAAAACAAACGGGAATGACTGTACTAAGAATTCGGTGAACAAGTTCTCAAACACACGCTCGTCAGATCTTACGTAATGCTACCGGTCTCGATCTTAGAGAAGGGCGTTAAACGAAATGAGAATAATAAACGAAGATAGGTGGTTGGTAGATGAAATTGCAGAATGGGATGCATAACGTACTGGTTTGCTGGAGGCGCGACTATACGGGCGTACGTTCGAGTCGAGGTCACGGAGCGAATTTACGAGTTGCCGAGTGAACCGGGACGAAATGATCGGCTCGCGTCATTCTTCGTTCTGACAATAGCCCTTCCAATGTTTGCAGCAAGCTGCACGTAAATCTGTTGCATATTCTCGTCAGCTGAAAAGTTTCCATCGTCGCTCGTGTCGTTCGATCACGTTCCACGCAAGCGTTTACGCGATTCCGTCGTTAACTACGAAACGATGCATCGTTCGAGCGAAGAATATCTCGGAAAAAGTGACACGGGATTGCATAGTCAGCACGTTTTACTATCTAGAAAGCGTGCGTCGAAACGATCAAGTAGAATAAACTCGTGTGGATCAGACGGATAGTAGAATCGTACGAAGCATTAGGCTACCTCGAGGTTCCCCGATAAAACAGTGTCTAACATTTCGACACGTGTATGAAACTGAACGATAGCAATTCTACTTCTTAACGATAGAGCATAGCAGAGATTCAAATCTAATATCATTTGTCAAAACACCAATGTCAGGGGATAATTGATCAACTCCACTCCACGCCCTGAAAACGGCACCAACCAGCCACGTAGCTGCGTACGTCCCTGATCTGCCAAAATTTAGTGTGCACTCCCTGCCACGGCATTGCGTGCGTGCAAGACGCGTCGAGTCTTCCGAGGGGCAGAAGAGAGAAAAGGGGAAAAGAGCGTAGGAGTCGTGGGGAGACGAGAGAGAAGCACGCGGGACCGAGATAGATATAACACCAAAGAGTAATGAAAGGAAGGGGTACGGAAACGAGTGGGGAAAGAGAGAGCGAGACAGAGAAGTTAGATGGAAATTCAGTCGCTCGAGGCATCGTTGTGTGCCATTTAGCGATGGTTAATCCGATTCTCCTTGATTAAACTATAAACAATTTTCAAAATCTCTAAATCTTCAAACTACATCACCGCAAAACATTCGATTCAGGTATCCAAAGCAAAGATTCCTAATTCAAGGGTTCAAAAATGAGTTCTTTGGGAAACTAAAAATTACTCGAAACAAATTGAAAAATTTTGATCGTTAATTGTAAATGATTGGCGGGTTTCGAAGCCATCGCTACTTGCGTGGCGCTCCGTGGTAAAGGAAAGCGAAAGGGAGGGAGAGGTTGTAATAGAGAGAGAAAGAGAGAAAGAGTGGAGCAATTGCGACAGCGAAGATAGGGGAGGGAGATATTACGCACGGAGGGGAAACGGTCAAAAGTGGGGTTGAATGAGGGGGGATCGGTTGGGAGGGAGGGTCGCGGGAGGATGGAGGAGGCTCAAGGTCGCTGCGGGGCCGCACGCGCGCCCCTGGCCACGCACACAAACGCGTTGCACGCGCACGCACACGCGTACGCACACGCTTGCGCATCGGCTGGCTGCAACACGGGCGTGTGCACAAGGGGTGGCGGGGGTGCGAGCGCGCTGCAGCGCACACGCGCATCGCTGCGCGCACGCGCCTTCCACCAGATACCGTGTATACAAACGTGCGTGCGCGTGTGCGTGTCATTGACGGTGATTTCGCGCGAACGTGTGCCGTATGCGTGTGGGTGCGCGAACGAGCACCGTATTTCGGCGGTTCTCCTACGGCGACGCGTATTATGTCACCAGGTCCAGGCTGCGGAGATAACGCACTGCGTTGTATGGATTTTTTCAGACTCGCGATAGAAAGCGTCAAACTGACTCGCGGAGGGGACGATGACTCGTTCGGGGCGGTAAATTGGAAAAGGACACGGAGATATGTTTTAATTGCTTGGCTATAGATCGAAGGAGGATGTAAAAATCCTGCAAACTATCAGATTCATAGAATCGTTGATTCTTGCAAAATGTCAGCTTAAAGATCCAATTAACGTTAACTATCGAATTGATATTCTGTCGCGTTCAATAGTGTGGCGCTATACTTAACACGTTCACTATTGGAGAGGTCGTCAGTAGCTGGCGTTTCAAATTTTATACAGTCAAATTATTAGAGAAATAGGAGGAAAACAAGCCTTGAATAACGTTAGTATTTTACTAATACAAAATGTTCATTGTCAATGTAATATTTAACGTGTTAAAGGTTCCTCGAGAATAAGATGGATGGTTGAAAAGATAATAGTTTAGGGTAGAATCAATGTTGACGGAATAGGCGCGAAAGTATATTCCAAGTGACAAAACAAGGTACCAAAGAGACACTCTATAACGTTAATTACTATGCGTGCATGTTACGGGCCATTGTAATTCAGCAGGCGATGCCACACCGCGTGTAAATGCAATTAGCTACGATCACTATAATTCGACACTTTAACCCTTTCAAGCGATGATTGCATAAGTTATTAGTCACAAAAAAGCCAAGATTTTTTACTATTTACGATTATTATATAACAGTCCTAGCATAAAAATTAACCCTCGGACGGCGGACCATGGAGAGAGCCCCAATTTTAATTTAATTTTCTATTTCATATTATTTTCATTTTCTACATTTATACATGTATATGTATAATCTCGTGTATATGTATTATCCCAGGCTCCGCTGTACAAGGGATGAAACAGTTTTTAGAAAATGAATAATTAGTACAAACTTCGGAATCTGAAAAATTATGAAAGGAACTTTGCAAAATTGTTTAAAATGAATTAAGATACAATATAACAGAGTAAAATGGAATACTACAACAACTGTGATAGCGAAATGGCAATGTTCTGAACGAGTATTCCGGGGAAAGAGTTGCCGTTGTTTTTCTCTCAGGCAGAAAACTGCATTAGTGCATTACGCTGTGTAGCCGGTAACTGAATTATTTAGTCGATTCAATTAAGGACCCTGCTCGGTGTGCCCAATAGGTACGAGAGCGTGGCACAGCTTTGATAACCCACTCTATTAACCAGCACTACGGATCAGTCAAAGCCACGAGTTACTGTTCGAGTACCATAGATAAGGATGTGCATTTTCTTACGAAACGGATATACCGCTGAGAAGAAAAGTGCTCGAGGATAATTTCGAACGGGAACTTAAAAGCAACACAATGTATCTAACATTATCTCGTTACCCCATTTCTTAATATATCTACCACGTATCTGGTAGACTACAGTCCAGAGATTCGTATGAAAATTAAGATCCTACATTTTAATAATAAATTATCACGATTTCTAATTAACGTAATTGGGAAAGTTATGAAAAGATTTGAATAAATATTTGCTTGTAAACGTTAAATAAACAAGGAAATGATTGCAGCAATAAGATTACGGCGTTTGCCGTTCCATCCTTTTCCCCTACTGAAATTCGAGTAGACTTGCAGTGCTGCAAAAGCGAGGTAGCATAACAGAGCCGACTGATAACGTTGAAAATACATTCTACGAAGGAGCTGCCCCTGAAGTGTAGTCAATACTGCAGCCAACGATGCCTACCGCAGCACTGTTTCCCCCTTATCCAACGATCCCCTGGTAGCTTCCGTTGCCGAATGAAAGAGGAAGCGAGATAGAGAGAAGGACGAGATTTGCGTGAATCCCGAATCCCGGTAATAATTGCCGAGGGGTAGGGAAAATGCAGAGAAAAGGGTTCTCGTCTGATGAAAATTTCGGCCTGAAAATGCAAACGTGCTCGCAGGGTGTAACGTAATATCAGCGTACGATCGAGAAGTCTGGCGAACTAATGAATTATTGAAATTCTTTAAGAAACATTTTTAAGTAGAAGATATGACAATATTTTATATTTAAAAAAATATATTAAATACTATATGGGAAGGTATATTGCAATATTGTACTACTGTAGAGAAATACCTGGATAATTTCATTAACATCAAACAGACAGGTGTTTCTTTATACAAAGAACAACTGGGAAATACTTTTCTGTCGGTTCTTACGAATCGATGCAAGGATCTTGATGTAAACGCGGATACAATTTGTTTCGGTGACACCACAATTTGTTAACTGTCTCTAGGCTCGTTCATGGGATATTAATGAAACACATGTCACTGTTGCATGCAACAAGCTGCGTGCAACCGTATAGATTAAATATTTGGTATCTTTGAAATTTATCCATTAAATTGATCTGCATTCATGGGTGATAATTTACTGATAGCAGATGGTGAAGGTTTTCACTTTCACATCAAATGTTAGAGAATTACAATAAATCTTCAAAAAATTTGATATCTTTCCCTCTTTGATGTTTCTCTCCAAACTGTAAAAGAATCGCCTTTTTCGTAGAAAAAATCGTCGCCAAGTCGACTGAAACAAAAGTATCG